CTGCTTCTGCTTCTGCTTCTGCTTCTGCTTCTGCTTCTGCTTCTGCTTCTGCTTCTGCTTCTGCTTCTGCTTCTGCTTCTGCTTCTGCTTCTGCTTCTGCTTCTGCTTCTGCTGCTGCTGCTGCTGCTGCTGCTGCTGCTGCTGCTGCTGCTGCTGCCGCTGCTGCTTCTGCTGCTGCCACTGCTGCTTCTGCTTCTGCTGCTTCTGCTGCTGCTGCTGTTGCTGCTGGTGCCGCCACGCCGCCTGGTTCCGATGCGGCTGCCGATGGTGCCGAAAGTGGATTCAGCAGTGGTACTGGCGACGCCGCCACCGCTACTGTCAGGGGTGCCGCTGCTGGTGCTGCTTCCGCGAGCACGGCCGTGGCCGCCACCGCTACTGCGGCTGGCACAGCAGCTGCCGCTTCTTCTGCCGCCGATGTTTCTGCAGCTGCCTCTTCTTTTGATGGCGGAAGTGCTGAACTTGTTGCCGCCTCTGTTGGCACACCATCGCCAGGGTCGTCGCCGCGCCAGGTCAGCACGTCACCCCCGCTAGCAGTCACACGAGCTGCTGTGCACGCCCCTGCTACGTCGCTTTTGCGTGAATGTGGTGCTTCTTCTTGGCCCCTCTGCTGCTCCTGCTGCTCCTGCTGCTCCTGCTGCTCCTGCTGCTCCTGCTTCTCCTGCTGCTCCTGCTGCTCCTGCTGCTCCTGCTGCTCCTGCTGCTCCTGCTGCTCCTGCTGCTTCTGCTGCGTCTGCTGCTCCTGCTGCTCCTGCTGCGGCTGCTGCTGCTGCTGCTGCTGCTGCTGCTGCTGCTGCTGCTGCTGGGGTGGCAGTTGCTGGGGCTCCTGACACCCCTGCTGCAATTCAGGCAACAACAGGATCTGCTGTTGCGGGGGCGTCACGGACAGCACCGTCTCGGGTGCCGTGGCCGGAAGCACTAAATCCAGCAGTTGTTCGGGCTGCTGGCCCTGGTGAACCGTCGGCTGCTGCTTGGGCTGCTGCTCCAGCTGTGGCGCCAGATGGGATTCATCTTTCGCCTCCGGTACAGGGCACAGCTGGCTTGCCGCTGTGGACGGCAACGAAGCAGATGGTCCAGGCCGCGCCTCGTGCCGCACGTGCGCTGGCCCCTGCTGCAGGGACGACGCTGCTGGCGTCTCAAGGAGCTCAGTGGCCCGATCACACAAAGCAGCCGGCTGCAGGCAGAGCGCATGCTCCACCCCTGCGTGCTGTTGCTGCTGCTGCTGCTGCTGCTGCTGCTGCTGCTGCTGCTGCTGCTGCTGCTGCTGCTGCTGCTGCTGCTGCTGCTGCTGCTGCTGCTGCCCTGAAGCTTGCGCCGGCTCTTGCGGCGCCGGTGGCACCGCCGGCTCAGCCGCATCCGCCGTCCTTGCGGCCTCCGTCGCCTCCGTCTCCGCCTCCGCCGCTGCTGCCACGGCCGCCACCGCCGCCACCTTTGGCACCCAATGCAGTGGAGCCGGTGGGGATGCCGGGGCTGCTGAGGGGTGCGGCTGCGAGTGCCTGCGCTGATCAACAGACTTGCTCTCGCCAGCAGGTGGGTCGGCAGTCTGAGATAAGTGGCCCGTCGCCTCCTGTCCCTTTGTGCAGCCTGTGGTTGCTTGGACGGGCGTGCTGGCCACAGCGACGGCGGCTCCACAGCCGTCCAGCACCTTGGTTGACCTGTCTGTGTGCACGTTGCGGCCACCACAGCCTCCATTGGAGCCGCCTTCGACGCCATCGCCACAGCAGCTGCTGCCACTGCCCTTACCGGAGTCCTTGCCCGCAACCCTGCCGCCGCCCTTGCCGCCGCCGCTGCCACCGCTGCCGCCACTGCCGCCACTGCCGCCACTGCTGCCACTGCTGCCACTGCCCTTGCCGCTGCAAAGGGGGGGCCCGCAGCTGATGGAGGGCAAATAGCTGGCTGACGTGGCCACCACGCTCTTCTTGGCAGCTGGCCCCACAGCTGCAATGCCATCGTCAATGCGCACCGCCACACTGCTGGCTGCGCAGCCAGCGCATGCGCGCACAGCTGGTGCCTCCGGCCGCCTTTCAGCGGATGGTGTCGCAGCGCTGGAGAGCAATGTGTGGTGCGTCTCGTGATGCTGGTGCGACGGCAACGAATTTCTCTTTGCCTGTCGCTGTAGCTGCTGCTGGTGCTGCTGCTGCTGCTGCTGCTGCTGCTGCTGCTGCTGCTGCTGCTGCTGCTGCTGCTGCTGCTGCTGCTGCTGCTGCTGTAGCTGCTGCTGTTGCTGCTGCTTTGGCTGTGTCCGCAGCTTTGGCTGTGTCTGCTGCTTTGGCTGTATCTGCTGCTGCTGCTGCCGATTTGACAGCCGCTGCTTTTCCTCTTTCTGCTGCTTAGTGCGGGGTGAAGGTGAAGGCGGTGGCGACGGCTTGCGCCGCGCCGGCGATGACGGGATAGCGGCGTGAAGCGTCTGCTGGTGCGAGTGATGGGCGTGACGCTTCTGCTGCCGCTGCTGCTGCCGCTGCCGCTGCTGCTGCTGCTGCTGCTGCTGCTGCAAGGAGCCTGGAGCGCGGCAGGCATCGGCATACGCAGGCGCAACGCTGTGCAACTCCGCGAGGGTGCCAGAGGGCGCCGGCGCAGTGCTGCCGCCAGCGGCGGTTTTCGTGGCGGCCAGTCCAGGCTGCGCAGATGCGATCGCGGCAAGCAGCTGGGGATGCTGCTGTGGCTGTGCCTGTTGAACGGGCTGCAGTCTCGAGGAGCCATGGCTGGGGCCTGGACCCGGTACTGACGCGCTGCGATGCAGGATCTGCCAATCGCCTGTTATCAAGAGTTCGTCTGTGGGAGGGGGTGCACAATGTAGAGGATGGCGGAGGTGGGAGTTGGAGGTGGATTGTGGACGCATGCGGTCTGTGCCAAATGCGAGCATGGGCAGCACGCACGCATGCGTGGCATGGGTGCGCGCGCGTGTGGACGCCTGCACGCAAATTTTGGCAAATCGGGCTGACTGCACGAGCGCGTCTCTCCAGCAAATCACTCACCTTCGTGCGGCTCGGCCGCACATGCGCCGCTCAATCCCTCGCCGTCCGTCGAGCCAAACATTACCCCTCCTGCTGCGGGCCCCTCTGGCGCGCCTTCCTCCGGCCCCGCCGCCGCCTCTGCCCCCGCCTCCGCGCCCACCGCCGCGCACACGCGCTCGTGGTACGACTCCACCACCCGCAGCAGCAGCCCGCGCTCCGCCTGAGCCAGCGCGGCGGCGGCCTTGGCGCGGGGCGCGCGCGAAAGGCAGATGCCGCGGCGCAGCGCTGACAGGGCCTGGGCCATGCCGTGGGCGCGGAAGCTGCGGGCAAAGAGGTCCCTGTCCCGCGGGTGCCACCGCCACGACTCGGCGGCGGCCTTGGCAGGCCGGTATGGATGGGGAAGGGGGCGGCAGGCATAAGACGGGAGAGGTGCGCCGCCAATTTCGGCGCCCAACCAACTGGGGTGTTTCCAAACGCCCGTGGCAACGACTTGGTAGGAGGATTCTAAGCATTCGTTTGGCGCTTGTATATGGTTGAAGCTGCCTGCCACAGACGCACGCACGCACGCATGCACGCACACACATACATACCAACACACATACACACGCCCACACACACACACATATATACGCGTGTGCACCCACCCACCTGGTGGTCATCGCCCAGCGCTAGCCCCGCCCTTAGGAGTGACGTCATCTCCCCAAGCACCTCCCCCACCAGCCGCCAGTCCCCGCCGTAGCTCAGCCCCGCCGCCGCCGTCCAGAACCCGCCTCGCAGCAGCAGCGCCGCCGCCGCGAGCTGGGGGGCGGCGTCGAGCGCGCGCAGCGCCTGCGTCGCAGCTGCGAGCTGCAGCACCGTCAGGCGGGGCTTCTGCACCACGCAGCGCAGCAGCAGCGCCTCCAGCGCGTCAAGCGCCGGCGCGTCGCCCCCGCTGAACGCGACCGGCCGCCGCGCCGCGCCGCGGCCGCCCGCAGCGAGCGCGCCGCTGCTGAAAGTCTCCGGCCGGGCCGTCGCCGCCGCGGCCGCGGCCGCCGCGCTGAGCGGGCGCAGGGCTGCAGGGCCGGGGCCCGCCCTGCCGTCGGGCCCACCGCCCAGGCCACTCAGAGCGCTGACAGGGCGCAGAGAGAACTCTCCTGCATCCACACGCTCCTGCCACGCCGCCAGCTCAGCTTCGAAGGCCGGCTCTTGGTCTGAGTTCGATGAGTAATCCCAGCGGACGCGCCTGCCGGGCCCCGCCGTCCCCTGCGCCGCGCCGCCCGCTGCATTCGCAGACGACACCGCTGTGGCGCCCCGCAGGCCCCACGACGCGCGGCCGCCGGCCCCGGCGCTGCCGCCGCCGCGCGACGGGTCGAGCGGTGCGAGCGCGCAGGCGGCCGCCTGGGCGGCAGCTTCCAGGTAGGGGGACGCCCGGCTGGGGCTGATCGCCCCCTTTGCGAGAGTGGGTGCGCCGGAGCCCGCCGCTAGCGGTGGGATCAGCAGCGACAGCGGTTGGGTCGCTTGCGGCGAGGGCGGACGCCAGGGTTGGCCGAGCGCGCCGCCGCAGCCGTTGCGACCGAGCGCGGCGCCGAGGCTGCCGGTGAGGCCGATGCTGCTGTTTGGGATTGCGGAGCAGGCGGTGCTGCCGCCGGCTGCGGCGCCGCATGCGGCAAGGCCACTGCCGTGGATCGTGGTAACCTGCATCCCGCAGAGCAAGCTGCCAGGGGCTGGGGCGCCACTGCTCCACGTCGAGTTGATGCAGTGGGCGCAGGCTGCCGCCCCGCCTGCTTCAGGCAGCGGGCATTTTTGGACCAGCTCGTTGTAGCCTGAAAGGTGTGGCCCTTGGCCTTATGTGCCTGTGCAGTAGGCGGCGCCAGGTGAAGGCGGCGTGTGCTCATTGGACGTGAGACGCTCCGAAGACGCAGCACACTGCAGCGGCGCTCCGGGCCCCGGGGATGGACAGCCCTCATGCAGCGCAGCAGTCGGAAATCTTTGTCCTCACCTTTTAAGAATAACGTAACTGCCTTTGATGACTGACGCGGACTTCGATCGCACGCTCATTTTATTTCTGCGCGAGCACCCGCCCTTCAAACATATCTGTTCGCTGTGCAGGACTCAAGATACATGTATAGTCGAGCAGCCAAGCGGGCCGCTGGAGCCGAGACCTCTGGCCTGCAGGAGTCAAACGGCAGAGTCAAGATCTCCACATGACGGAACTACACACTGCCTGAGCAACGCGGTGGCGGACCGCAGGAATCTTTGCGAGTTGCTTTTATAGCCATCGAAGGGCATATCATGCAGCCAGGCAAGCCGCACCAGCTAACTGAGCAACGCCGACCATCGCTCGTCAAGCGACCTGCGAGAAAGCGCGTGAGCCTTGCAAAGCGGGCGACGCAGCGCCCGCGCCCCAACTGCGAGGCCCAACTACAGTATTTGCAGTCCGCTTCCTTATGATCGATGTGCCCCCTCAAGACAGCTTTCATTGCGGAAAAACAGTCGTTGAGCGCGATGTTACAGCGGCAGGCCTCCAAAGGCCCCACCCATGCAGACAGCTGCCGCCGCCGCCGCGTGCCAGCCGCGCGTGATCTAGGCGTTCTCCTTCTCCGCGGCCTCCGCTTCCTTGGCGCGCTTGGCGCGGACGCCCACCAGGCGCGCGTTCATGCGCTCGATGCGGAGCTTGGTGTACGCCTTGAAGTCCTGTGGGGAATTCAAAACGGCGGGCCGACAGCTGGGTCAAGAGGCCGCGTTGGGCAGCAAGCAGCAGAAAAACAGGACCCAGGAGGCAGCCAGCGCAAGGCCCAGCACCAACAACAGCAATTTGCCTGCTTTGCCTTCCTAAGCCGACCCGCACGCGGAGCCGCGCTTTTGCGCCCTTGTTCACACACCCCAAGCACCAAACACCAACCGCCCCGCCCCCGCTCCCGGTGCCGCCTCCGCCCGCCGGCTCGGGGCCCCGCGGCACCCCCATCCAGCACGACACGCGCCCTGGGCGCCGCGCCGGGCAGGCTCCCGGGGAAGCTCCTTCCGTCAAGGGCGGGAAGCCACTTCCCGCCCTGCCCCTCCACCGCCAACCTCCTCGACCCACCTTCAGCTCCTGCGTGATCTTGACCTTCTCCAGCGCCGGCGCCTCCTTGACCACCGGGATCACCGGGCCCTTCACCTGCGCGGCCGCCGCGGCAGCCTCCTCCTTGCTAGCCTGCGAGCGCAAGGGGGGCGACGTGGGCGGCGAGCCAGGGTCGTTAGGGACCGCAGGAGCGTTGGTTGGCCGGCCGGCGCCGCTCTGCACGCGCACGCGTGACCTACAGCCAAAGCGCGGCCTGCACGCGGTCTTCCGCAGAACGGGCTAGACCCGCGCGCCGCGCAGGCCTGCGGCACGTCGCCCCGCCGACATCAATCAACCCGCTCCGCCGCCCGTACACCCGCGGCGGCACGCCAACCCCCGGGCCTAGAGCTCAAACCCCAAACGCAGACGACACCTCTGCCTCACCCCGCCGGCCCGGACCCACCTCGAACTTCTTGGGCTTGTTGGCGTTGCGCGGGAAGATGACCAGGTTGCTGCGGTAGGCCTTGAGCCGCGCAACGTTGGCCTGCAGGCCCTCCAGGCTGCTGTTGCGGCGGCGGTGGTCCACGGAGATGCCGATGGTGGGCGCGAGCTTGGCGGGGATGCCCGCCTCCTGCGGGGAGGGGGTATCGAGGAGATGGGGCCGGGTGATGTTCTGATGCAAAAGAGTGGGTCCGCCTAGGAACGTGGGTGTAGCAGAGTTCATGCAAGGCAGGAGCAGGCCGGCTGCAGGAGTCGTCGTGAGCGTTGCCGATCGCAGGGTGATCGAGAGCGCCGCTGCTGCGCGGATGGTGCGTTGCTGGGGCCGCCGCCGGGCTCCAGCCGCTGCCGCAGCGCGTTGCGTGAGCTGAGCCGCTGCTCGCTGCCTGGATGCCCTGCAGCTTGCTGCCCTGCTGCCGCTGCTGCTGCTGCTGCTGCTGCCCCTGCTGCTGCTGCTGCTGCTGCTCCCCCTGCTGCTGCCGCTGCCGCTGCTGCCGCCTCTGCCGCCGCCACTGCTGCCGCCGCTGCTGCTGCTGCTGTTGCCGCTGCTTACGCTGCTGCTGCTGCTGAGGGTGGTGCCACTGCAGAGCAAGGCCACTGCTTGCCACTGCAAAAGGCTGGGCTGCGCCTTCACAGCTCAGCTGCAGCGACATCCACAGCAGCTTTGGTCGCGGGTGGCCACCCCGGGCGTCGCCGCCAGCGGCTGGCGAGCGCCACTAAACGCCCGCCGCTTCGGCCGTGGGCGCCGCCCACCCCTGCCCTGGGAGGCCGCGCCATCAGGAAATGCTGTGCTGGTCACCCTGGCCCCCCGACGCTGCTCCTCGGCCGGAGCCCCTTGGTGCTTTGGGCAACGGCGACACGACGTTGCTGCCTTGGGCGCGACGCCGCTCGTGCGTTCTGGCACTGCTTGTTCCCGCACTGTTTTCTGGTGGCGTGTGTGTGTGCTGCTTGAATATTGCCAAGCGGCCAAGATCCCACTCCTCGCTGACAACGCTGAAGAGAAAATCCGTCGCGGACGAGAAAATCTGTCAGTTGGACCCCGACCCCGACCAGCCACGCCTCCTCCGCCGCTTCCGGGCCCATCGCAACGCGTATGCTCCCCCCGCCACGGTCCACCGCACCTTGAGCTCCGCAAGGGTGAAGCCGCGGCCGAGGCGGACCTTGGCGTTGTACTTGATGGTCTGCCCGTGCACCACTGGGCGCAGCGCGCCAGCAGCCGGCCGCGGGAAGGCCTTTGCGGCCTTCTCGGCGCGAGCTGCAGCACGCGCCGGGTGAGGTTGATAGGCACATGTAGTTATACAAGATCATCATAGCAGTAAACGCACAGTAGCAAAGCACATGCACCAGGCCCCGCTCGATGAGATCAGGTGGCCTCGTTACAGCAACGGCTGGTCGCACTGTTCTTCAGTTAAATATCGAATATGTCAAAACCTCGTGTTGACTGCTCACCCTGCCTCCGCCTGAGCTTGCGGGCCGGCTGGTTGAACCAGGTCCGCACGCGGAACTGCCACTTCTTCTTGAAGTGCTGATTAGGAATCACATTGTTGTGCTTCACCATCTTGTCGCGCTGCTCTCCTGCAAAGCGACCGCAAAGGCGTCAGCAAATGCCGCCGGCCAATCCAAGTGCCTTACCGGCTGTGCTTTTGACAAAAGAAGCGCACCTAGTGCCTATCCCGGCCACAGCAAAAGAGGGAGCTGTGGATGGCCGCTTGGTGCAAGTTGTGCAGCGCCCACCCACTGCTTTTCCGCCGCTCGTGCTGTCACTGCTGCAGTACCGCCAAGCAAAGACGCAATAGTAAGAGCTATCTCTAAAACCCTTCCAAATAGAAAGCTTCAGTTGTGGCGTGATGAAAATGGTTGCTATCGGTGATATACATAGTGCCCTGCGCCCAGGGCATGCAGGCTGCGCAGGTGAACTGCCGGCCGCGCATCTGAAGTAGACTCCTCAGTGTATACCACGACCACGTTGCCCTGATCAGGGGCTGGCGAGGCATGGTCTTGGCAAATGTGACACCCGTTTACCTGTGTGCAGCCAACCAGTGAGCCAGACGGGGCTGTCCACAGACAATCAGTCACCACAAAACGGTGTGCATATGCGTTACAGCATTCAACTCAAGGCCACCTTGATAGCAGAGAGATTCTGATGCAATCATCGCAAGAATTGGTCAGATGGGAGGAGGCACCACCCCTACAAACACCCCACCATCAAACCGCTCTGGGGAGCCGACTGCCCAACCGCGCCGGCGCCGGCGCCCGTTCGCGCCCGCCGCGCCCCGCCGCCCCGTCAGATCTCAAATCTTAAATCTGGTGGTCACTGGTTCTTGAGGTGCTCCAGGAGGCGGGGGTCCCCAAACTTGCGGGGGTGGATCAGCCGCGCCAGCAGGAAGGCGAGGCCCAGCAGCAGCGAGGCGCCCCCGGTGGCGAGGTAGGTGATCCCCAGGAAGGGGTTATGGCCGCCCAGCCAGCTGGTCGTGCCCTGCGGGGCGCCGAGGGTCGCGGTTTCTCAAGGCTGCTCAGGCGAGAGAGTGCAGTCACGGGCCGCAACTGGGTGAGGCACGGCTCAGTGCGGGGCGCCGCGCGGCGAGATGTGCGCCCAGTAGGGATAATCATCACATTCGACCCCCAAGCATGTTCGCTCGCCGCATGCCACCAACACGCCCAGGCACTCGAGCACCAAAGCAAACGCACGAAGCTCGTGCCATAAGCGCTCGCGCCCACCAGGACGATGGCCTTCTGGCCGTCAAAGCTGTAGGTGTTCCACCGGTTCATGATGTCGACCTGGATGACGTCACCCGCCTCCAGCCCGCCTCCCTGTATCCCGTCGATGCGCCCCCACAGCTTCCTGAACTGCGGCAGCGCCGCCGTCCGCATCCAATTGACGAACCGCTCGTCGCTCCTGACGGTCAGCAGGCGACCGTCGGGGGCCGTCATGTTGCCGCCGCCGCGCGAGGCGTTGAGGGCAGGGTTGAAGAAGGAGGGGGTGTAGTTGCCGAAGCGGTCTTTCAGGTCGGAAGACAGGGCGATGCCCTTGTCCGAGACGGGCACAGGGACCGGCGCGGCGGCGGCGCCGGAGCCGTTGGCGGGCGAGACGCGGGTCAGCTGCGGCGAGGGGCGGGGAGGCGGGGGCGCAGAGGCGGGGGCGCAGAGGCGGGTGAGGGCGGTTGCAGCAAGAAGGGGTTGGTCAGGAGGCAAGGGTGGGGACAATGGGGTCCACGCCAAGTGAACGAGCTTGAGCCCCTCCTCACGCGCTCCTTGCGCATGACACACTCGGTCGCGCAGTTGTGCACGGCATGCGAATTTGCATGCCCAAGAGCGCCCACGCGCACGCGCACACACACAACACACACGCAAACAAAACACACACAACCACATGCGAAATCATTTGCCTATACAATCCTCATCGCAACATACCCACACCCACCACGAAGCTGTCGTTGAAATTGCTCCACGCCACCAGGCCGCAGGGGTTGATGATCTGGGCCGGGTTCCCGTTGTACAGCACCAAAGGCTCGCAGGCCGCCAACGAGGCGACGTCCTTTACCTGCTGCCCTGCCAGCTGCACGTCGCTGCGGCTCTTCACGTAGCTGTGTGTGATGTGAGTATGAGTGTGTGTGTGTGTGTGTGGTGGGTGGTGGGTGGGGTGTGATGTTATGTGTGTGTGTGTTTTTGTGTGTGTGTGTGTGTGTGTGTGTGTGTGTGTGTGTGTGTG